AACAAGATGGTCCTCTTAGTGAGGATAGGAGGATAGCAAAATACAGCAAAATACTACAGTTCACATATACACAGTACACTATATTTTTATGATTTTTCGATATAAGGGGGGGACAAGTAGTAAGGAAACACCAAAGCATCAACGTCGACGATCGACGATTAAGAAGATGCGTCGACAGCGTCGACAGCAACGACGTCGACAATCATTACTAAAGCAGGGGGAAAGAAGACACACGCAACAAAGAACTGCAAGAACAAAGCGTCGACATCAACAAGGAGGACAATCGACCACGACAACAAAGAACAAACGACCATCGATTAAGAAGCGGCCGGTCCTCTAAGCAAGTGGTGTCCCCCGGCTGCTTCATGGGGAGACATGGCTCTAAGAATGAATGAAACGCGCTTCGAAGGGCCTCCATATACTCCATAAATTCTTCTTACAGCCACTTCAGAAGAACAACCAGCTCTGATGAGTCTTTCCATGCACTTCCAGAACTTCAAACGTCGGCAGTACTTGCTCTTCACTCTGCCGCGCTCAGCAGCAGTGAACTCCTTTGCAGGCTTATTGAGACCGACACCAACTTCCCACTCATTCCAGAGGACATAAAGATCGTGAGGACACTTGCAAAGCTCTGCTACTTCAGTTCCTGCACCAGCTTCGGACGCCCCACTGTTTACAGCTCGGACGATCCGACGTCTTGCTACAGGGGCCATTGCAGCTCTTTGGGACAGCTCAATCGCTCGATTGAGCTTCTGAATGAACTTGGCCTCAGCTGCAATCTGCCTATTTTTAATATCATTCACTTCATTAGCTGTGGCAAAGAGCTTTGAGAACATTGCATGGTTCCACTGCAACTGAGTCCTCCGAATCCCAATAGCAGTCCCTCCGGCAGCTCCGGGGGCTGCGCCCCCTCCTCCGCCATCCAGCAGATCATCCGGATCAGCAAGCTCATCAAAGTGAACTTGCCCACTGAATTCATTAGCAGTCACCTCCACGCGCTTGATAGGATTCACATCAGCATCCAATCTTTGAGTTCCATGACTGTGATTGAGTTGAACCCAAGAACCAACAACATCCTGCTTTACATCCTCAGGAATCAAGCCAGAAGCTTGCATTGCCGGATCGCAACAAGCCCAAAGCAAGGCCTTTCCTAGAATCGCTGCCACTTGATTACCAAACACATTGGCAATATTAGGAGCAACTGAAGAAGCAAGCCACTCGTCAGTCACTCCTGTTCCATGTAGGGGCTTGTACAGACAAATTCCTCCAAAGCATAACTTACTAGCAACATTAATATCAGGCCAAGCAAGCTGTGTGTCGGTATAGCGATCCTGTTGCCTTCTAGACTTCCATCTTGCTCTATAATCAACATCATCCCTAGAGCAGCCGCACTGCCTTGCATACGTGGTACCAAACTTCCGAATCGAATGAGTACCAAGCTTCCCTTCGGATAGTCTTTCAGGAACAAAGACAGGATTCTTAAATGCATGGCGCTTGATGAAATTAGAGTATGCAGTCTTCCCCTTATTCACCTCTTTCGCAACATCCTTTTGTGGTGATCTGCTATCTGTAGTTCCTTCAGTGAATAACCATTGACTTGCTGCTCCATCGCCTTTGCACCACTTTTCAAGATACAAGGCAAGCCCCAGTACAACACAAGCCCGATGATCCATGGATCCAAGCAAGATCTGCTTTGGGCAATCGCGTTCCTCCCTTACATTCTTAGACCACTTCATCTTTGCTGTAAGGAATCCAGGAAATTCAGCAGATCTTTCCAAGCTGTCTTTCCCCACATGCGCCATATCATCATTCCGACCAATCAGATGGAGCTGGAACTTAATCATTGCAAGATATCGGAGCCTTTTGATGAGATGGCCATGATTCCCCATCAGTTCTAGTGTTTGCAAAAACTCATCCTTTGTAAGAGGCCTATCCATGCTGCTCGCTTGTCCAAGTCCTCTTGTTTCCTTCTTGATTACAGCAGATATCAAATCGTTGACTTGCTGGGACTTAGTAGGATTTCCACTGCCAACGCCAGCGATAACAGTCCATTTGTGCAGCTTGTTTGGCATGAAATAGGATAACGCCTTCTTGTAGTAAATAAGGGATGAAGATCTTCCTTCAGTAGGATTATCGTCGACACCAGGATCTTCCCTACCAAAGGCTTTCTTTGCAAAAAACTTGTAAATATGATCCGGTGTAAGAATACTCAACTGCTCATCCGTGAATAGAGTATCATTAGGAAACCGATTATCGTTGTCTCCTCCTTCATCTACTCTTCCATGTACATGGTCCATTAGCTCCAATAGAATTGTATGGTATCTTTTCCATTGCCCTGGCTGGTTCACGTCTCTTGGAGGAGTT